ACCTCGAAGCCCTAAGCCCGAAACCAGCTCAAGTCTAGCCCTACATCCTCATTTCTGCATCCTAAACCGCAAGCCTGAGGTCTGCATCCTATAGTCCTCAAGCCTGTTGCTTCTGAGCCCTAGCCCTTACAATCCCGGCGCGCTAGATCGCCGACCACAAGGGGGCCTCCGCTGCGTCTCTCTCCTGATCCAGCTTCTGGCGCCTCATATTTCTGGCTCTGCTTGAATACGAAACGAGTGTACTGTACAAGAGGTTCCGAGCAGGGTAGCAATAAGAGGAGGTGTGTAGCATACTTCATCCCTATCAGTAGGCAGTTCTCGAAAATACAGTTCCTTCCACGGTGCTTATTAGAATAATGGCGCTTGAACCCAGAGAAGAACCGGTGTGTGTGTGTGTGTGATACCTAGCGAGTCTACTGAATTTTGTGCTCTGGACATCTGCCCTGCTATGGTGCCCACTGTGCCCAAGCCAGCGTGCTGCTGATGATGCTGAAGATGATGTTGCGGATGCTTGTGCTGATCAAGTTTATGTTGCTTGTGCATTCGTTTTTGCTGCTGCTGTGTTGTTGTTGTTGTTGCTGCATGATGAACATGTCGACTGATATACAGTGATATCACTGCGACGCCAAAAAGGGTGATGATAATACTGGCAATGGCGTTGATGTCCTATGCGACTTCTCTGCCGTTATCTAGTATCTTCTTGAAGCTGCTCTCATGCACACTGAGCAAGCTATCCCATCCAGTGCAGCCTATGCCTCTGCTCTATCTCTGCACTGCAGAGGTGGACAACGACGGCCACAGCTTCTCGACCCTGAGCCCCCGAGCTGTGTGACCAAGTCGTCTGTGAGGCGCGCGATCTTCTCCTCAACACACTCCCTGAACAGCAAACCCTATATCTTCGAGCCTTTAGTAAGAGAATATGCAGCGTCCAGCCCTTGTGCAGGCAAAATTCAATTAACAAACACTTCAAGCGACCTTGGCTGCTGCGAAATCCAATTCAAGCAAACTCATCTCAGCACCACGGCATCCGTCCTCAAAGGAGCCTCTAACCCCTGAACCTTTCCCCAAACTCATCAGAAACCTTTCGGGTCCTCGGCTGACGTGGCACCTGCAGACACCAAGAACTCAGATGGGGCCGGGGCAAGGGCTTTCACTGCCAGACCACCAGACCCCCCCCCAAAAAAAAAAAAAAAAGAAAGGGCCCGTTTCCGCGAAACCATGCTTAAATTAAAGGATCATGGGGCTTAGCAGCTCAGAGGGCTCTTCATCAGGAATTGGTAACTGGGGTTGCGAGTAAGGCGCTTCTGGCCATGATATAGGGACGAAAGAAGCGGCATCGTTACATCGCATGCAGTCCCTATGTGCCGAAAGATCGATCTGTTGAGCATTGAAAACCCTAAACCCCAAAGACTAAACTCTAAATCCAACTACCAAACCCTAATCCTAAAACCCTAGAGCCTAGAATCCAGTGAAACCTCAGACTCATAAATTCTAGTGTTCCCTCTTCTGTATTTTAAGGAACTTCTCAAATTCTGATTCTAGAGAGGTACTTACCTCTATACCTATGGCGCCTGCTACCACCCTCTGATCAGGGACGCAAAGCCCTTCTAAACCCAAGCAGGATTAGGGCTCCTTTAAGGGATCTATAGGGCTTTAGGGTTTTAGGGTTTAGGGCTTTAGGGTTCAGCAGCTCCGGATCGAGCAGTCTCTAGTCGAGCTCACTACTTCGATCCAGGAAAAATACCCACATACCCACCCGCGAACATTGTGAAATCACGTTGTGCTGGCTTTGGATAACTTTAGTGCTGAAATCCTAAACCCCAAAACCACATTGGTGGTTGTCAAAATTGTGGCCCCTTTTTGGGTCCTTACTATAATACGGCACCTATTATTTAGAGTACCCAAAAAGAGACCTTAATTTTGACAGCTACCCGCATCGTGAACCCAATAGAGCTGAAACCTTCCACCTCAATCAGCGACCTCTCGTGGTACAGCACAAGAATAGCCCTTCCACCCTGTGGCAAACCACTGCGGTTCCAGAATAACCCTGAAACCCTAAGATACAGCCCTAGAATAGCACTAAGACCCCATGATGCACTACCAGAAGTGCCCTTAAACTGTATGGAAGCCGCAGGATAGGGTTTAAAGCTATGATACAGCCCGAGGGCTCACAAGCCCATCACACAGCCCCAGAATAACCCTCAAACGATACAGCCCAGAATAAGCCTAAAAACTTATGATACAGCCAGAATATGCCTTCAACCCCTTGGTACAGCCTCGAAATAAGCCTTAGACCCTATATGATACAGCCCGACGTCGCCATTGGCGACGGAAACAGCGTTGCCGACGGAAAACCAGGTGTGCGCAATAGACACACCTGATCTTACGGTCGGCAACGGTGTTTTCGCCATTGCCGGCGGGAAAGTACCATAGGTGTGCTCAGCAGAAACACCGGATTGATTGGTCGGCAAGGGTGAAAACATCGGTTCATTGTCGAGGGGCTTAGAGTTTAGGATGTTTAGGGAAGCTTTCGAACACCTTCTGTATACTTTTGTTAATCCGGGGCCTTTAATTGGCCTTTGAGGGGTATGCGCGTTTCAGAAAAGAAAGGACGCAATTGCTCGATATAGATCTTGCATGAGAGGATTCTTATCAGAAGGTCCGTGCCCCAACTTTCAAATTCCTTAGACCCCTATAACAGCAAACGCTTTGAACCCCTGCAAAAGCCGTACTGGTACTTGGAGGATCATGGGACTTAGTAAGTTTGGTTATCAGTACCCTAAGTGGGGCTTTTTTTAATTATAGGTATAGTTACCTTAATCATAACCCTAGCTACTAAGTCCCATGATCCTTTAAGTAACCCCAAAACCCCTCTTATAGAGCCCTTATGGATCCCTTTCTAGGAACCCTTTAAGGAACCCTAGCTACTAAGTCCCATGATCCTTTAAGTAGTGAAGGCGCGGGATTCCGCTTCGCTGCACTGCCGCTGCAGCTCGAGTCGCTGGTCGTCCAACCTATCGGAGCCGGGTCGTGTCTTCAGGAAGGACCCTGAACCCCTAAACCCTAAAAAACCCTAAACTCTAAACCCCTAGACCCTAAACCCCCCAACCCCTAAAGTGCAGAGTTGTACTTAGAGCTTATAGGCTCTCTGTGGGTTTCGGGATGTTTCGGGGGTTGGGATGTAGGGCCTGTAGAGCTTCCGGCTGTAGACGTTGTGCTTTTTGGGGGAAGGGTTGGATGCTGGGCCTTTGGCTTACCCATTTTGTGTTGAGGATCTTCTTGAAATGCAGCAAGATTGCTAATTCCGCTTGATATGTCACGCTTGCGGCAAAGACCCTCCCCAGTGCAGAGAACCCCCGCACATCACTCGAACCCGTGTATCCTTTGGGTAAACTAAACCATAACCCCAATTGAAACATAGAAAATGGGGTTCCGAAGATTGGGCACCCTATCTAGTACCCTGAATAGTAGGATCCTTCATTCTAAGGACCCCAGAATAAGGCACCCCTCATTTTCGGAAACCCCCAAATCTCTTGAAGAGTACATCGGACCCTGAGTTTGAGGTCCAAAGAAAAAGAATGGCCTCGAGAGCGAGGCATCCACTGCTGCTTGAAGCGCAGAGAGCTCTGCCTGGAGCACAAGAGGCAAACAGAGTCTGCCCTTTCATGACTGCTGTTTTTTGCACAGAAATTTCACAAGCCTTCATCTGGACTTTGAAAAATCTCTCAGGAGTTGCATATGAGTTTAAAATTAGACGGTCAAAAAGATTGAGTGAGGCTTGTATAGGATTTAACCAAGGCTCTAATGGGCTATACAAGGGCTCCATGTCTTATGAACAGCTTCTAAGTTCTATTCTAGGTCTAACAGAAGTTGCACCAGGTTGTACAAGGGGCTTCATGCTGACACTGGGCTGATCATGGGTCCTTTGGCAAGGACTTTTCGAAAGCTTCTGATGGATTTGCAAGGTGTTGTGTATGCATTGTGCCAATTTGCTTAGAAGTAGGTTCTAAGGTAAAACTCTTCAGGAATCTCTGGCCCTGGTTAGGATTTACACGGACCTCTGACTCTGCAGGGTGAAAACTGTCGCATGTGTTAGGCATTGTGGCTTATAAGGTCCGCAGACTGTGCTTCTGGTTCTGTCTTTTTGTGTTCTTCTCTGTGTTATTCATGGTTTATGGGGTTTGAGACGGGGTCCTTACTCGGATGCAATACGGTCTCTGAGGTTTTAACAACATGTTGAGGGGATCAAAGGGCCGACATATGCATAGGGCAAAGCAAGTGCTTCTTGAAGGAGAGGCAACAGAGGCGACGACTCCACGCAGCCCTGCTTCTTATTGAGTCTTACAGCTACAAAAATGTAGACTATCTATCCATCTACCCATCTATCTTTACATAACTATATATATATATATATATAGATAGACATATATAGGTATGCATATGATAAGGAGAAGGACATTACAACTGTATGTGGCCTCTTCCATTGGCCATTGATGTTCGGGTTTATTGCAGACTGTATTCCGGAGCCTACCCAATGCAGAAAGCCCACACAACCCTAAGCCCTAAACCATCCTAGCAGGAAACAACAATCACAACAACAACAACAACCCGATAAATCCTAAACCCTAAACGCCATAAATCCCAAATCCTAAACCCCAAATCTAAGCCGGCAAAAGACACCTCGCCCTTGGAAGCGCGGCGCGCGCTTTCTTTGGCCTCGGCCTAGTGGCATGTTCGGATCGAACTAGTACGGGTTCCACAAGGGTTGCTACAAGGGGCATTATTTGGGGTCCAGTACTATAGGGTGCCTTGAGGGATCGATAAGGGCCTATTGTTCCTATTTATTATTATCGGGACTCGAAGGGGATCTTATGACTAATTATTCAGCCCACTCTCTGGTTCTCCGTCCCTGGATCATGCCGGAGAGCCGGAGAGTATAGAACTATGTTGAAGGCTGCGCAGTCATGCGTGATAGTGATGCGCAGTCATGTGTGATCGTGATGCTGCGCGAGATGGTTCGAAGGACCTGTGCTCTTTCTTGCAAGGCAGTGCATGTCTTAAGGCATATGCAGGCCGCATGATCAGCAGTCAGGACTTTCGCATGCTGTCGTAAAAGGTAAATTCGGTGCCGGCTTGCCATGTGTTGTGCCCCTCTGCTTTAAGCTGAACTGAGAAGATCAAAGGCCGTAAGCCCGGACGTGGAAGTGCAGATTTACAGGTTATGAGTCGCCCAAGTGAGGGTGCGGCTACGCTGGAAGGGGAAGCCTCGGGACCGAACTACGGAGCTATGAATGGAGTGGCACCTACACATGGCGCCAGGCGGTCTGGAAGCTCTTCAACGCTGCCTTTGGGACGTCTCCCATTTACGCAGCCAGCTACAGGAGCAGCTATGGATGGGCCCCTTGGTGCATCAATGGTGGGCCGAGGCCAAAGAAGGGCGCGAAGCGCTGAGGTTCAGCCAACCGGACCCGACGTGGAACCTACCGGATCGGGCGCAAACGTACGTGACGATGAGCCCCAGCAGCCACAGCCTCAGCAGCAGCCTGCATCGTGCCCAGCAGTAGCAGCAGAAGTTCCATCCTCTAGCGTAGCGCCACCAACGGAGCAACGTACACTGCGGCAGCCTTCAACTACTTCTACTACGAGAGAAAGGTTGCCACCTCCGCTTCAACAGGCAGTCCAACAGCTAGCTCAGCAGAGAACGGCAGTGATTCAGGCAGTGCAAAGCAGGGCCCAGCGAGCTCTGCATGGCCAACGGTCCGATGACACCCCAGGGTCTCGAGCTGAAGGGGGTCTCTTCGTGAATGCAGAGAACTATGGATCTCCACAGGCGTCCCCTGTCTCCGAAGAGGACCGAGGACCTGGGTCATGGTCTGTGACAAGAATCAGCCAGGTGCTTCACAGGCGGCTGGTGGCGCCAGTGCTGGAACATGTGGGCGGCGGTGATCGCGGCCCCGGTCCTGCGCAGTCTCCGACTTGGCACTCGCCAGCCCAAACTGGAGCACAGGAGTCGCTGATGTCACATGAAACGAGGCAAGCTATGGCAACATGGACGGCTAGACCTACAGTCTTGACTACCCCTACGGCACCGATGGCCCAGCGGCGAGAGGACAGCTCAGGTGAGAGTATGAACCAGGAAGTCATCATGGATGAAGTTCGACGCCAAGTCCAGATGGCTATGCGCGGAAGAGACTCGGAGCTTCAGGCTTTGAGGTCTCAGAACAGTGAGCTGCAAAGAGCCTTGGATACCTCGGCTCAGTTGCTGAATGACATTGTGCAGCAGGGCGGAGGAGCATCGGTCCGAGATTTCCAAGAGACTTCGCGTGGACTTCCAGGCCCTGAACCTGGAGGCGTTCCTGCAGGTGGGGATCGAGGACTTAAGGTGCAAGGAAGTGCTCCGCCTGGACTTGAAGGTCTCCCTCGGCTACCAGGCGGCAATCCTCGGGAACAAGGGCGGCGAGAACCATCCTTTGAAGGAGTCCCTCGAGGAGCCCATGGACATGCAACTTCGTCTGGGGGAAATCCTGGATTTGGAGGCGCAGGGACTACGAGTGCGTCTTTGCCGGGACCCCTGAGAGATGGTGGCGTGCAAGGAGCTGGGGAACCGGGAGAAGAGCTGTCTCCTTTGGATATCTTGGTGCAGGGCATGAAGCAGCTGCAGCAAGTGTATATGGACAAGAAGTCTCCGGAGTCGGAGGCCTTGAAGGGAAGCGTTGAGCTTCCGACCCTCCCGGACTTGTCGGGGGACACTGGGGTGGAGTTCAGTGATTGGCTGTATGTGGCGGAGCAGATTGTGGGCTCCCTCTCCGACTCCTCTACCAGTTGGTTCGCGAGTACACTGGCGCTAGCGAAGGAGGCCTACCACAAGCATCAACAGGCCACTCCCTTGGAGCGTTTGACGATCTCCCCGGTGATCTCACCGGAGCTGGCGGCAGCAAAGTGGAGCCGCCTTGAGCGGCGTGTCATGACGATGCTTCTTACGGCAATGCCGAAGGCGGTCAAGGAGGACGCGGTCACCCACCGGGTAGGAACTGTGGCAGGGGCGATGTTTCGCTTGCATGTCTTGTACGCCCCTGGTGGAGTGGCAGAGCGAACGGCGATCCTCAAGCAGCTTGAGGGCCAGCCAGATGCCAGTGTTCTGCTTCGAGGGATAGAGATGATCATTGGTGGAGCCCTGAAGCGACTGCCAGATACCAGTTTCCGGCTGGCCTTAGCCAGGAATGAGTTGCAGCTGCAGAACCGGCCCACTCAGGACACAGTGCTTCGCTATTTCGACCACGCCCTTGCTGAGCTTCAGCAATCAGCCCCTTCGCGAGCTTTGAGGGCGCCAGGCGGAGGAGATGATCCTCCCAAGCTACGTGCGGCGGATGCTCAGGCAGGAACGGGAGGTACGGCAACGAGGACGCCCCCGGGATCTCCATCGAAGTCGGGGCAACGGCAAGGATGCAAGTTTTTCTTGTCGGACCAAGGTTGCCGCCGTGGTGCTGGGTGTAAGTACGCGCATGAGTTTGCCACTAAGGATGAGAAGCGGTCCAGATGTTGGTTTTGTGGTTCGAAGCAGCATCGCCAGTCTGAGTGCCCCGTTAAGGACCCCACGAAGGCGAAGGGCGCGGGAAGTGGACCTACGGCTTCCTCCACTTCTATGTCTCCTCAGGCGACTACTACAGTGGCGGCAGCAACCGCCCCGGAACCCAAGGCTATGATGGCCCCGTATGGGAATGCGGCAAGTTCTACTATGTCGACTACCTGTTCCGAGGGCCCTGTGGTGCAAGCGGAACCGGTGCAAGCTTTCACGCCTGAGGTGATGCAGAGTCCTGAGCTACAGAACTTCGTGAAGGAGGTGAACACCATGTTGCAGAGAATGTCGGCGCTGAGGGCAATGAGGGTTCGAGAACCGATTGCTCCCGAGATGGCCAAGATGGAGAAGAGTTTGGAGGCTTTCGAGCTTCCCGAAGAGCCCTGGGCCCTGCTTGACTCCGGCGCTACGCACCCGTTCAAGAATGTGACCCCAAGGGATGAGGACCAGACGCTTCCGGTTCAGGTCACTTTGGCGGACGGCAACAAGGTGGTTCTACAGCAGAACAGAGCAGGCACCTTGATGCCGGCAAAGGGTTCCTCTATGGCGAGCGGGGTGGCCACCACCACCATTGTGCCCCTCGGCACACTGGTTCGGGAACTTGGATGCACGGTGTCGTGGGATCGTCAAGGCTTGAAGGTCAAGCATCCGGAGCACGGGGTGATCACCACCCATGTTGCTGGCTCTTGCCCCTTCATTGGCGAAACCAAGGCCCTGCAGTTGATAGAGGAGATCGAGGCGCGGAAGCTAGAGCAGCTCAAGGTGAAGACCGTTGAGTCGCAGTTGAAGATGAGGGGCATTGAGGCTACGGTGAGTTTCGAGGCCCAGCTCCACGAGTACAGGCGCACCGGCAAAAGAGCAGATGGCCTTCAAGCCCTGTTGTGCGAGGACTCGGTGTTTGGGGTGATGACAGAAGCTCAGCGTTGTTCCTTGATTCAGGATGTCGACCTCAGCGACAAGGCCGGGCACAAGTACCTCAAAGCTTTGCCAGTGAAGAGAGCTATGAGAAGACGCTTGATGACCTCTAGGTGGATGGTCCATTTTTACTCTGGCGAAGCTACCGGTGATGGCTCGGGTTTCAAGGTTCTCGAAGAAGAGGGAGTCACTTTGTTGGAGATTGACATTGGCATCAGTCGCTCCTACAACATGCGAGAGCCGGGCCCAGTGTATCAGGCTTTGCTTTGGGCGGCTATGCGAGGCCAAGTACATGGAGTGTTTGGAGGCCCTCCGCGAGCAGAGGGCACGGGCAACTTGGTGATGAAGCAGATGTTCATTTGGACTCTTGCTAGGCTGGCCGCTGAGAGCTATGAGATTGCGAGCCCGGGTTTTGCGATGTGCATGCCAACCAAAAGTGAACTGTGGAGCTCAAAGCTTTGGTCGTCGTTTAGAAGAGAGTATGGTGTGAACCTAAAAGGGGGGGAGCCAGGGATTTCCGTTGCCACTACGCTCGAGATGGAGCTACCTGAAGGACCCTGGGAACGACTACTTCCAAACGGGGCATTGACGTGGACTACGGACTTCAAGGAGGCTCTGATCAAGGGTTTTCAACGATGGCGGTCTGTTGTTCATCTGCGTCGTATGAATGGACCTTTGAAGGAAATGACCAAGGAGGAGCTGGCTCGGTGGATTCAACATGTGAGGGATGGTCATCTACCTTTCCACCGGCGGTGCAAGACTTGTGTGGCGGCCAAGGCCACTGGGCATGCTCATAGACGGATTGAGGCACCATCCTGCTTCACTATGTCCTTGGATGTTTGTGGACCGTTCCGCGTACTTGGCCACACTCCGGAGGCCAAGGACTTCAAGTATATGTTGGTTGCGTCGTATACAATGCCACGGTTGAAGGGAGCAAGCCCCTTGGAACAGGATGTGATCATCAACGAACCAGAGGGTGGGGTTGGAGAAATAGATCCAGGCGAAGTTCTACCAGATGGTCCAGTCCCGGAAGTTCCAGGCGAAGTTCTACCAGATGGTCCAGTCCCGGAAGTTCCACGCGAAGTTCTACCAGATGGTCCAGTCTCCGAAGTTCCAGGCGAAGTTCTACCAGATGGTCCAGTCTCCGAAGTTCCAGGCGAAGTTCTACCAGATGGTCCAGTCCCGGAAGTTCCACGCGAAGTTCTACCAGATGGTCCAGTCTCCGAAGTTCCAGGCGAAGTTCTACCAGATGGTCCAGTCTCCGAAGTTCCAGGCGAAGTTCTACCAGATGGTCCAGTCTCCGAAGTTCCAGGCGAAGTTCTACCAGATGGTCCGGCACTTGATCTAGAAGGTCTGTTTGAAGAAGAAGAAGCTCCCGAGGATCCGATGCCGAACCAAGCAGAACAAGGTGAAATGGATCAACAGAACCAGGAGTACAATGAGCTGGTGGCAGAGATTGGTGAGACCATGGACTATCAGGTCCTACGTTTTGCGGTGCCCATGAGAAGCAGAAGAGCAGCAGAGGTGAACCAGAGGGTCAGGCAGCTTTACCTGCAGATTCGGAGTGAAGGTTTGGAAGTGCTGAGGTGTCACAGTGATCGTGCCCGTGAGCTGTGTAACTCTCGTCTACGTGCATGGCTAAACGAAAGAGGTGTGCTGTGTACAACCGGAGAAGCTCAGTCGCCTCAGCAAAACGGCAGGGCGGAGGCAACAGTCCGCTTTGTGAAGTCCGAAGCCAAGGCCCTTCTGACCGCTTCTGGGCTGGGTAAAGAAAACTGGCCTTTAGCAATGAGGTATGCAGTTTATCGTCAACGACTACAAGCACTGAACAAAGACGAGACCCTCCCGCCTTTTGGTTGTCCAGTACATGTCCGCACCAAGATCTACGGGCAAGCTGAGCGCTACGACTTGGACAACAAATGGAGCCATGGAGTGTACACTGGCCCGTCGGAAGATGTGGCCCATGGACATGTGGTGAAGTTTGAAGACAACACGTTCGTAACAAGTCAGCACCTCAAGACGAACATTGTTGACCCTGACGCCTTAGTGGATTTGGAGCCGAGAGAAGCTGAGATACCGATACCAGAAAGGCGCGTTCGGGCAAAAACCCGGTTAGCCTCTATGTCTACGGTGCATCCGCTGAGCGTTGAGGAGGAGCGCGCCGAGGCCTTTGCTCGAGACCTATGCCGTTCTGGACAAGGAACCCCAGAGGAGATCATGCAGTTGTTCGGCTTGCTAAAGAATGTCAAGGTGAAGCACAAACGAGGACGGGCAGCTGCTAAGGAGGGGTGTTCTTGGACAACCGGAATGTTCGTGCACGGCGGCGTTGCGGGCCTTCGGGGGAATACGTCACGCATGAAGTGGTGTACCAAGTTTCTTGTGAACGCGGCGAAAACACTATGTGCTGGCCACGAGTTTGCGGCGGTGGGCTTGCTTGAGAACGTGGACATGGGTTGTCATAAGGACTCTCACAATGAGGCCGAGTTGGAGAATGCCTTGGTGATGTTGAAAAAACCCACCAGCGGTGGCCAGCTTTGGATTGAAGATGAATCCTTATCTCCTCGAGATGCTGAGTGGAAGCAGGTTGCCAAGAAGCTTTCCAAGAAGGGTGCCGTTCATGAGTTAGAGGTGGGGAAGCCTTTCTTCTTCAATCCTAGACGGTGGCATGAAGTGCAGCCTTGGGAAGGAGATCGAGTAGTTATGGTGCTCTACAGCCCTCGTGCTTCCCACCTTCACTATCAGGACCGCGATCGTATGGAGTTTGCTGGATTCCCGTTGGGTCACCTGGTTGCTGGGGAGGCCGAAAACCAAGTCGGAGGAGTTCAAGCTAAAGAGGCCCAGACCTCTGCTGAACTTCACCTACTACAATCACTTCCTCATGATGGTCAAGGAACCTTGGATGATGCGTTGTTGACTTTGACGGAGGACCAGCAGCAGCTCATTGATGATTTGGAAGCAAAGTCGACGAGGCTCCGTTTGCTACTTGAGGAGGAGGAGGCCTTGTTGGAGGAGTGTCGCCGAGCAGGAAGTTTGGTGGGAGATGAAGTTGAGAATGTGCGAGGGATCTTGGAGGACATGATGGAGGAAATCACCACCCTTCGCGGAGTACAAGGGCAAGTTCAACATGGACATTGTCTTCGGGCAGCAGCAGTGGCACAAAACGAGATTGACTACGAGCGCATGCTTGAAGAGATGACTGGAGACTTGGAGGTGGTGCACACGGTGCCACTGGATCAAGTTCGAGCAGCCCTTCCAAAGTGGTTGAGCGCGATTGAAAAGGAGATCAAACAGCTCCTGAACGGCACCCTTCGCCCTATCTACGCGTCCAAGGCAAAGGAGCTTGAGAAGCAAGGGAAACTGAAGCTTGTGCCGTCCAAGGCCGCTTGCACTTTGAAACCTCCGACTTCCAAGGGTGAGAAAGCTCGACGCCGTTTTAGGCTCGTTCTATGTGGAAACTTCGCGGCCCCAGATGACCCTAACTACTGCTTGTATGCTGGCGGTGTCTCCGCGGAGACAGTCAGGGTTGCTCTCGCCATCGCGGCGGCGTTCAAGTGGTTGGGAGCTACGTCTGACATTACGGCTGCCTTTCTCTTGGCAGAGTGGCCTAAAGAGCTGGCTCGATATGCGATCTTCCCTCCTCGGATGTTGGTGGAGGCAGGATTCATCAATGCGGACCAGGTGTGGGAAGTTCTTAAACCACTTTATGGTCTCAGAGAGTCCCCGTCCATTTGGAGCAAGTGCAGATCAGCTAGATTGGCATCGGCGAGAATCCCGTGGGGAGACAAGATCGTGACGCTCAAGCCATGTGATGCTGATCCAGATTTGTGGCTGGCCTACACCCAAGATGATCCCCTAACGCTGGTGGGTATGGTTGTGACCTATGTGGATGACCTCCTCTACCTTTCTGAGGAGTCCTTGGTGATTGCAATCCACAAATGGGTTGAAAGTGAGTGGCCTTGTAGTCCTCTGGAATGGGCGAGGGATGCTACTGGAACTCGCTACCTCGGGATGGAGATTTACCAGCGGGGCCACCGGCAACTTTGAGATCTCTCAGGAAGGCTATGTGAAGGAGCTGCTGAGAAGTCATGGTTTGATCGAGACCGTCTCCTCACGTTTGCCGTGCCCGAAGGACTGGTTAGCAGAAGGAGAGGACAATGATGCCGATGAGAACTTTTCTGCAGAAGAACTCAAGTTTGCTCAGCGAGTGGTGGGCGAACAGCTTTGGCTTGCTATGCGAACTCGTCCAGACCTGCAGTTTCCAGTTGGCTTTATGGCGGCTAAGGTCAGCAAACAGCCAAACCGAGTAGCCCAAACAGGACGAAAAATCCTCGCCTACCTCAACACCACGAAGGCGCTGAAACTCATTTTGGGACCCAACCAGGAGGAGACAGCTAAGGGCATGGTGACAGTGACTGGGTACTCCGACGCGAGTTTTTCACCGTATGGCGAGAAGTCGTATGGTGCCAGTGTTGTGACGGTGATGAACAGTCCAGTCGCTTGGAAAGCCTCCAAGCAGGCTTTTGTTACCTTATCGGTAATGGAAGCAGAGCTGTACGAGGCCCTGAATGCCGTGGTTCTCCTTGAAAGTGTGGGAAGTATTATAGATGAAGTTTTGGGCTACAGGGCGCGAAGGACTCTCAGGGTGGACAACTCCTCGGCAGTGGCAATGCTGGAGGGTGGGCCAGGAAGCTGGAGGACGCGACACTTGAAGGTTAGAAGCGCAAAGCTGAGGGACCAAGTTGAAGCCGGAGATCTACATGTGGAGCATGTTACGGGCGACCGGCAGATTGCAGATCTGGCTACAAAGATGCATCCAAAGATGAGGCTGTGGGAGCTCCTTACGTTGTGGGGTTTCAAGGATTTGCCGAACGAAGCGGTGGAGGCCTTGGAAGCAAAGAGTGCCTATCTGGCGATGTTGGTGCTTGCTCTGATTGTGTGTCCAGTGGAGGCTGGAGACGGGACTGAAGAAAAGAGTAGGCTTCAGTCCGTTGGCATCGATGAGCTGGTGATGGTTACCTTGCTGGTGTGCATTGCCGCGGTGGCCCTATGGGAAACAGCCAAGTGGATCTTCAAGTGGGTGGTCAGGTTCTGCCGGGAGACGCCAAAGCAGAAGCGCCTGAGGAAATTGAGAGAAACCGCTAAACTGGCGGCTGAGGAGGAGGTGGACCGTGTTTTCTCTACAAGGCCCGACGAGACCTCCAGAACCCCCTCCTCAACAATGGCCTCAGGTTCAACATCATCGAGCCATGACCTACCTCCGGAACCACATCCGATTCCACGACCTCGAGTGACCAAGAGAATCATCGACACCGCTCCGGAACCGGTGTCTCGGCAAGAAGAGTTTGAACTCCTACCGGAGAAGAGCTACTACAAGACCAACTCTACGAGGTCAAAGATGCACACGGACCCGCATTGTCATGGTTTGCGAAATTCTGGTGATGTGTATGCAGTTGAGTACTGTTCGTATTGCCAACGGAACACACCGCTGTACACAAAAAGGAGTCGATCCCTTCAGCCAACGAGATCTTACTAGTGGGCTGTACGGAACCTCTGTGTGTGCGAAGAGTGTTGCATGTCAACTGAAGACCGTGGAGCGGTCTTTGCACAACGACCCTTGAGTACCAGCAGCCTTCGAGTGTGATTGGTGTGGCAAGGCCCCTCCAATCAAGGAGGAGTGTTGAAGGCTGCGCAGTCATGCGTGATAGTGATGTGCAGTCATGTGTGATCGTGATGCTGCGCGAGATGGTTCGAAGGACCTGTGCTCTTTCTTGCAAGGCAGTGCATGTCTTAAGGCATATGCAGGCCGCATGATCAGCAGTCAGGACTTTCGCATGCTGTCGTAAAAGGTAAATTCGGTGCCGGCTTGCCATGTGTTGTGCCCCTCTGCTTTAAGCTGAACTGAGAAGATCAAAGGCCGTAAGCCCGGACGTGGAAGTGCAGATTTACAAACTAATAGGCTTCATTATCACCTGCGCTGCTTCAGGGTGTGGGGGTATGGGGTTGGGGGCTTAGGGTTGAGGGTGTATATCTACCACAACTAGATAAGGAGGATGAGGGCACAAAATCTGAAGTTACTGCCCAGCACTGCACCAGCAACTCCTAAACCTTTGGATAACCCACGAAGCCCAAAATGGGAGTTTCCGAAAATCGGGGTACCCTTTTTGGGGGGTCCTTATGATAAGGATCCTACTATGTAGGTACTATAGTAGCGTCCCCTCTTTTCAGAAACTCCCAAATCTGTTTAGGGTTTCGGGCGTTGGGTGCAACAGCTAGCCTGGCGGTGCGCAGTACCCTGGCAGTGATGAACTCGACACCCGCAAGCAATGAGTGTGTGTGAGTACACATGAGCCCTGCACTCCAGAGTCGAAGACCCCCAATGATTCCGTCGCGCGTTTACAAGATTCAGGAGAGGGTATTGGCAGGTGAAGTACACCTTCAGACCAAGGCAAGCGCCTCACATCTCAGTAAGATGCCTCCTACAATTACAAGTCATATGGGAGTTTCCGACATTAGGGGGTACCTTATTTTGGGGTCCTTACAACATGGCAAGGATCCTACTATTTAGGGTACTATTCTAGGGTCCTCTATTTTCGGAAACTCCCGTATGGGACTGACAAGACATCAACTTGCGACATAGATCGCCCTGCTTCTGGGGCTTAATCACCGTAATCAAAACCGTCTGCAAAACCTGTAGTTAAACCCCATAGCGTCACGTAAACCCCATAAGTGGGCCTCTCAAAAACCAAGAAAACCCGATAATGCCCCGTAAAGACGAATGGACCGTTATCAAGCGTGAGGAAGTACCATCAGATTCCCACCTCGGCCTTCTGTCTCAGCGCAGCCTCCCCGAATGCAGACGTGGAAGCTTTGGGGCTTACCTGAACCCTATGGGTTCCTTTTTATAAGTTCCTTTTGCAAGTTGCCTTACACCGGAATGTTTTCTTGCGGCGTCAGGTGGGGTTGTTGGATTCAGCGTCCAGAATATCGGCTTCTATACCAGGATCCTATACATAGGACTGTAGGTCGAGGAAGAAAAGTGCAACTTCGAAGCTGGAACAATCACAGTTTTTGGGGAATAGGGCTCAGGGTTCAGGGTTTAGGCACTATAGGGTCTAGGGACGGTGTTTTAGGGTAGGCTTTAGGGATTGGGGTTTAGGGATCATTCCCCATGAACCAAAGCCTGGACTAATTAGTGGGAAGAAGACTTCTCGTCCGTTTACGCAGCTCCAAACTGACTGGCCTCGACTATGCAACCTCAGGGTTCTTCCTGGGGCATCTAATACGGAGTCCGTTCAAGTCTGATCTTGCTAGGTTCAAGGTTTAGGGCACATGGATTGATTAGGCTCCGGCTTTCTCGGCTCATCGCGTTATTTGCTCCGCGGTTCCGAAAATCGCGAACCTGGTCAGCGAGCTGCTTCTTCAACTCGTCCGCGGTTTCTATCTTCGACCTCGCAGAACATCTTCAAACGGGCTGTAATTACGGTTTGGGGATGTTTTGGGGGTTGAAAAAGACTTCTGGCTTCGGGGCGGGGCTCTGGTAGCAGGGATCCAGGTTGATGCGAGGCTCGGAAAGCAACTTCATGGCGGCAGGGGGGTGGGCTTCGTCGCTGTAGAGAAGAGGATGTAACATAGGATCCCCGTTTGGGTGGGCAGGTGCTCTCGCTGGCCCTCTCTGCTAGTAGGGACGTGCCCAAGGGACATATGCACAAAGATTTTGTTCTTCAAAGGCGTTCAAACAGCCACGATCCTTATGCTGTCTGCCCATTGTCGGGCTCCATGTACCTATATACTGTAGAACATACTTTGGCATTGGAGGGGTTCCTATTACAAAAGTACTTTGATGCATAAGTATATACTATGTATACAACGAGTACATGGGAGTTTCCGAAAATTTGGGCTCCCTTATTTTGGGGTCCTTATAACAAGGATCCTATTATTTAGGGTACTATATTGGAGTCCTCTATTCTCGGAAACCTTAAACCCTAATCCCTAAACCCTAAACTGTAACAAGGATCCTATTTTTGATGGGTGCTATATTGGGGTCCCCTATTTTCGGAAACTCCCACATGAGCGGCGGCCTAAACCTATTGTTCGACCTGCTCATGCCGAGATCTCGGGTCGGCCCCCATCGGTTGTGCAGGGATCAACTACAAGATGCCATGCCGAGAACATGGGTCGGCCCCTATCGGTTTTCCTACTAGACTCTAGTTTTTCACCATCTCGGTTGCGCTCTAGTCATATTAGCTCTTACGGAGGTTTTGTCCGATGCTCACATGGAGCTGTGAAGGGAGTACCCATAGGCCCCAAAGTAGTTCCTTTTTGGGGTTCATGTATAGATTTCTATAAGGTAATCCCAAAAAGGAACTACTTTGGGGCCTATGAGTAGAGTAGAAGCCAGAAAGGTGGAACATGGATTAAGGATGATTAGTGCTAGGATTCCCTCTACTTTACCTTAAGGGCATGAGGATCATGGTGTTCCAACTTTCTGGCTTCTACTGTATAGATCTGCAGCTGCTGAACCCATCCGTCATCTGGGCCCCGATGCACCGTTCCGCTCTCCAGCTCTTCGATTTTCCGGTGGAGGGCCTTGTTTGCAGGCTTTTTTCGCGCTTATTTTGGGATTTGGGTTTAGAGTATGGGGCTATTGACAAGCTGTTGGGTTTAGCAGGGATTTGCATACTTAGTATAAGTGAGGTCATCAATACCGAAATTGGGGGTTCTATCGTACCTATAATGTTAAATATATAACAGATGTATAGCCTATGAATAACTATAATTTCTCCGTGGGCTAAGGATCCTGCTATTTGGGGTCTTGCACTAGAGCCCTTTTCTGACACCTGTATCCGGATATCGACTCCATACCAAGATAGGTCATCACGATACTGATCGTATGTTCGAAAACGACAAAGTCTGCAACTTTTCTGGGAAGGTGAACGTGTTCATTGAACCGTGGACTGCAACTCAAACTGTAGAGTTCAAGGGTCTTGGGCAATGAGATCGATAGTCCGCACTTGAATATTTTCCTCGATTGCAGGACATTGCGGGACTTCGAGGTTGTTCCATGCGCTACATACCCGGTCGAACGACGAATGGCTGCAGACGAGGTTGCGCTGCTGTAAGCATGCATCAAGATTTTCATCAGGGTGCGCAGCATCGTGTCCTCGGAAAATGCTGATGTCTGCCTCTCTGCTTCCGGGCAGCTTTGCTGCCGTGTGACCTCTAACGGCATGAACATGATATGAAAGACTACACGACAACGACATGAAGTGCAGGTATTCCCTGCATGGGCCTTCAAGCAGCTGCATGAACATGATATGGAAGACGACACGACAACGACATGCAGTGCAGGTGTTCCCTGCATGGGCCTTCAAGCAGTAGAGCCTAAACATCGCAAAACTAAGATAGTTTGGACATCGCTCCTTCGGAGCCTGTATCGTCCCTCCATCCTACCCGTCTAGCATCACACTCTGCCCGGGGGCAGCGCAGGCAAAGAGCCCAAGCGGCTCGCTGCCTCGTAGGGGACTGCCGGTCGGCCGTAGGCCTGTGGCGATTGCACATGATCTGTGAGCCAAGAGGAGACATCCACTTCGGTGTACTTGTAGCCCTTCCGCTCCAGCCATGCGACTTCCGCCTTTTGGGAGCCCCCCAGGCCCTCGGACCTTTTGAGAAACTCGGCATCGTCTCCCGGAAGCCATTCTAGGAAAAGTCGATTGGCTTCCCGCTTGTATGGTGAGGACCCATCTTCGCGTTCCCAGCGGGACAAGTTGTCAAGCCCTTCTGCTCGAAGCTTGTGAAAATGTTCGGACTTCTCGAACTGCTTGCGTCGTTCCTCCAGCGCCTCTCGGCGACGGTACTCTGCGCCAGCGGTGTCAAAGCTCTGCACTTTGCCTTTGCCGACGCAGCCTTTGAAATAGTAGACTTGAAGTGTTGCACCGTGCTTTACAGCTGCCTCGACGTTCTTAATCCACATGCTCCACCAACGGCATCCCCACTTTTGTTTCCCGCCGTAGAGCGGCTGGCACCAGCAGCTTCCGACAATCCCGTGCTCGGGCGGGATCTCATCGTGCTCGCCGCTGAGGTCTGTGCCATCAGGTAAGAAAACAACCGCGGCACTAACTCCCCAGTTCCGGCTTGCGTGAACTAAAGTATCCCAAGCGCCTGCATACTTGCCCGGCCAGGAGACTACACAGGGTCTCCCGTGTCCTGCAAGCACTGATCCTTTGAAAACGATGGTCCGATTCAGCACTTGTCGTCTCGCTTCCGCCTTCTCTTTCTTCAGCTGCTGCTTGGCTGCATGTCTCCAATTCCCGTCTAGATCGCACAATGCAAGGCAAAGCCTAATCAAGCAAAGGACGGGCGGGGCACATGTGAATAAACAGAGTGTCAATGTCAACATCCCGACGCCCGGTTTCAGCCCGTTGAAGAAAGATAAGAAAGATATGAAAGCCGTGGCGCCCATGATGCAAAATGCCACACACGAGCCACCTCTGAACAGCACCACTGCATAAATGCTCGTACCCAGCCCATAATGGAAATCGTTCTGATCGATGGATTTGCTGGCAAAGTAGCAGAGCATCGAATAATCAAACGTGGCGACTATTCCCACGATCCAAGCCAGATCTTCGTGCCCTGCAAGAAGAAAGTTCGGAACCATCACCCCGCAGACAAGCAACACCACAAGGCCAATCCCGTAGCCAACTGCATGATGGCTCAAATTTCTGGAAGCCATCTTTGATCTGAGAGAGATCGCTGCCGCTGTGGTCTGATCCTTTTGTTTGTTCTGGGTACACTCCCGGCGATGATGTTCACGGGCTGCTGCCTGCCACTCTGCTTGGTCCAAACGGTTTGCCACTGCACTGAAGTCTCCAAAGGATTCTGATGCCCTCAGCTGGCCCATGGCATATCCGTGGCCTGTAACTTGGTGGTTTTCACGCAGCCGAACATACACTGATCCTTGTGAGGCGACTGGAAAGATCCTCTCCGGGTAGAGGACCCGCCAAACCTGTCCCATCAGCACTTCGATCGGAGCCTTCAGGTCATTGTAAAGAGAAGCTCCGTGAAGTATCATGGCTGACATTGCGGAATTGACAGAACTAGCTCTCCCTGAATGCTAGACGTTTGAGCCACCACCGCTTGCGTCCGAACTTTGCGGCCGGTTGTAGCTTGCAAGACCAACGATTGGGATCAAACTTGCTGTCAGAATGCGCTGCGTGTTTTGCACTGCCCAGGCTTTACCAAACCTGAATAAAGCTGGTACGGTGATAAACGTGGCAATCATGACGCGGCACCCCCCAAACGCCTGCTTCCCGACAGGCCCTATAACAGTGTCCCAAACTCCATACCTCTAAACGCCGGCTGTCCTAAACCTGCAATTCCCTACCTATAGTCTCCATTGTATTTCCTTTTGGGGGCTACCTTTTAGGATCCTATCATGTAAAATTGGTTAAACCAAAACAAGGAACTACAATGGAGACTATAGGTAAATATCCGTGAAGGTCTCTGAAGCCCCGAGCGCGATTCTCCGCAACGAGCTCCTTCCGAGCCTCCTGGAAGCTTATTCTATATGGGTGGTTGTCAAATTTATGGTCCGTTTTTGGTTTCCTATTATAGTACGGCACCTATTGCTTAGGGTACCCAAAAAGGGACCCTAATTTTGACAACCTCCCATACTATGCCCTATTACTGTACCCTAAGGCCCCATAATAGTTCGTTTCTGGGAGTACCTACAGGATTCTACGTATGAACCACAAAAAAGGAACTACTGTGGGGCCTTAGGGTAGTTCAGTTCTTGTAGGCCTTCGGGCTCTGTAATGAATGGCTTGGGGCTCAGAGTCTGGGGCCTTACTTGGAGAATCATGGGACTTAGTAAGTAGGGTTATAAGTACCTTAATTGCGGCTATAAGTAATTATAGGTACAGTTACCTTAATTATAACTTGGGTACGGCCCCCATACAGTAACAGTCTATAATAGGGCTACTATAGAGGGCCTAGTATAACCATATTACGATTATTATCCAACTGTTACTGAGTGGGGGCAGACCTTCACGGATATTTACCTATAGTCTCCATTGTAGTTCCTTAATTTGGTTTAACCAGTTTTACATTATAGGATCCTAAAAGGTAGCCCCAAAAAAGACATACAATGGAGACTATAGGTAGGGAATTGCAGGTTTAGGACAGCCGGCGTTTAGAGGTATGGAGTTTGGGACACTGTTAGAGGCATAAGCAATTATATAAGTACAGTAACCTCAACTATAACCCTAATTACTAAGTCCCATGATCCTTTAAGTAGGGGCCAGCCTGGGGCTCACTTTTCGGGGGTGAAGGTTCCGGGTCTCCGGTTGAAGATGTGGGTTCAGTTCTGGCGGAGAATTGGCCTCTGTGCGGTTTTAGCATTATAAATTTTGGGTTTGTGGGTTTAGACTTTAGGTGTGTAGGCTTCTGGATTGCAAGTAGAAGCGAGTCCGGAAGCGTGAGACGTGAGAGTGTTGGTTGAGGCCTCAGAAAGTACTATAGGAGCCTCAATAATTAATTAGACTAGGGTGTTGGTGGCCATTATACTGTACTTAATAAGGAGCCCCCCAAAATAGTATTGGTAGTTGTTTAGGCCGCTACATCACGCTCCAGTCCATTAACTCTGAAACCCTGCTGTTCGATGTGGGAGACTGTGAAGGGCCTGGTTCGAGATCCCTGTGGGAAGTTAGTCGCTTGCCTCTTCCTGGGAAAAAGAGTGTCTATCTAGTCAAGTTGCACTCGGTCCGAAAAATATAATACACAATCTCGTGCGTTTCGCAGAATCTACTGTTTACCACTCATGGCGAATGGAAGGTCACTGCCTCACCATGCCTGGGATGATCGTTGGCGGATTTAGTGATTGTAAGTAAGGGTTCAGGGAAGGGGACGTTCGCGGCTGCAGTGCTGTCTCCTCCACTTGCGACGTCACCTCCTCTCGTACCTTCGCAGACATGAGGTAAGACAAATGTAGAATCGGATGCTGGCTTTAGTCGTTCGGGTTTGATTAGGTGAGGTCGTCCGGTGTCATCCATTGCGGTTGCCATTGAACCGTCCCGTCCAGGACTACCCTAAGAACAAGAGCCATGCTGAAGAACAAAGGGCTTACTTTCCAACAAACCGGACCAGCTGGAATCTACTGCTCGTCGACACTGGACCTCGAGGAAGCTCTGTAGCATGATGTAACTTGCATGTCTTTGCACACCCAGAATAGAGTTGTACCTGTTAAGTTGCAGCCTCCGCTCCTGCTCTACCTGCCGCGATTTGAAAGCCAAAGCTCGCAGGAGCAATTCCCCACCTTCTAACTCCTGGGGGGCCTGTAAAACTCGAGGGTTTGGAGGGCATACCTCCGCAAGAACTGCACGGGGACTAAAATGCTGGGGCTCGCGGCTTGGATTGTTGGGGCCCTGGCCCTTGAGAATGGAACCCCACACCCTACAGTAAAAGCCAGAAAGTTGGAATATTATTATCCTAAACCCTTTATGGTAAATTATAGGGTATCCTACCCTTAAACCATATTCCAACTTTCTGGAGTTACCTGTAAGACCACAGGAACTGTTGGATCTCCATTAATTAACCTGTTGCGTAGACCCCTTTAGAAGGTACCCTTGAAGGAACCCCAATTCCCTAAACGCCTGCATTAACGAACCCTAAGACAACTTACTTAGACACCCCAACACCCTCGAATATGCCGAAATACCCACTAATTACTAAGGCCCCCAAAATAGTCTTGGTAATTATTTAGGCCCCTATTCTACCCCTGGGAATCCTTATAGACCCCTTTAAGATGTGAGTCCTTCTGTTGATGATATACATCCCGCATTACCTTACGGACCCTAACCTATGCGAAGTATGGTATATCTCTTATTTTATGGGTATATCATCCACCGTTAGAGTCTTAGCCCCAAGGGTCCAAGTACCTAATAATCATATACTCTCCAAAATCCTAACCTACATAACTACTATCCTCAAACCGAGTACCTGATTATTGGGTCCTTTGGACCCTTGGGGTAAACCCTACACCCTGAATCCTAAACCCTAAACCCCTATATAAACCCTAAACCCCTATATAAACCCTAAACCCCAGACCCCTATACACACCCTAAACCCCTATATAAACCCTAAACCCCTAAACCCCTAAACCCTAAACCCCTATATAGACCCTAAAAACCCCTAAACCCTAAACCCCTATATACCCTAAACCCCTATATAGACCCTAAACCCCTAAACCCGAAACCCCTAAAACCCTAAACCCCTATATAAACCCTAAACCCCTAAACCCCTAAACCCTAAACCCCTATATAGACCCTAAACCCCTAAACCCCTAAACCCTAAACCCCTATATAGACCCTAAACCCCTAAACCCGAAACCCCTAAAACCCTAAAGGCCCACCTGCTTCAGTCTTTCGAGTCTCTCCGTCTCGGCCGACAACTCTCGGAGCTGCCTGGGAACACGTCGAGTAGACGGTTTTAGGGTGCTTGGGGTATATAGGGTTTAGGGTAGAGGGTCCTGGGTTTAGGGTTTAGGGGTTTAGGTTTTTAGGGTTTAGGGTTCCCAGAGGCCCCAAAGTTCCTTTTTGGGATTACCTTATAGACTTCTAAATACCTGGGCAATCCTTGACGCCTAAAATTATTGCCGGCGCCGGGTAAAGGCGCCTTTACTCTGTTGTCGGCGGGTTTGTTCAGTTGTCGGCGGGATTGCATAATTGGCGGCGGTTTTGTTATTTTGGGTATCTGCAGCATCTTTTCGCTTCTCGAAGCGAGCTCCGATCGCCGGCCAGCCCCCGAAGGCACGCCCACCTGCTCAGTTTGCTATTTGAGATTGTCAATTGTGCTCATGAGCTGCAAACTCGAAATCACAAGAGGTTTGAGGCTCGAGCTTTGATTGGATTTTAGGCATGAAGCAAGCCATCGACATGTCTGAGCAGCTTCCTGTGGCTATGGAGAGCTACAAGTTGCTCGAGACGGCAGGACAGCGATCTAAAGTTGAGCACACAATATAAAAGATTTGGGTTTGTGCTGGGGTTCTTGGAAGGATTGCAAGATATGCCCTTGGCATGGTTCCACGAAGTGCAGTGGACCTTGTGGCCGGATCGCAATGCTCATGCAACCGAGTGGCATTATTTAGGATCTTGCCTAGAGCCCTGAACATCAGTTGATGGCATATAAGAAGATACCTAAGGACGTCCTGACCCATGAGGAGATTAGTGTGTTGGTGGAGAACTACAAAAAGGGCGGATCGGTCAGAGAGCTTGCAAAGAAATATTGGGAGGCATCAGAAGCTTTACGAATCTTCGCTTGCATTGTCTTGTGATATGACGATTTCGGGGAATTTCGAAGTTTCTATGGTCAACCTCATACCCAGGACTCTTCGAATTGCCTGAGACTCCCGAGAAGCAGAACGAGCGCAAGAAGCAGCAGCCTGGATCCGGATCTTCTGTGCAGTAGGAAGCATAGAAGGCGAGACCTGAGATCGCACAGCCGGGCCGCAAAGAGCCACCAATGCTTTGAAGGGGAATCAGTTGTATCATGTGGGCCGATAGTCTTCGCAGATTGTTCCCTTCATAACTGATTACGCAGGCAGTCACCCGATTTCATGGGCACCCGTCCTACAGTGAGATTTCTGGTATTGCATCTCGTATCTCACCCTTTCCCTCTGTCGCCCTCTGGCCCAGGTCTTCATGGAGCTCGTCGTCCTGGTGGATTTCATCTTCTTCGTATGCCCTAGGTTCGCTTCAGGTATAATTAAGATCTCTTTGGAGTTGTTTGGTGCCAGGCTTTGCTGAGCAGCGATGTGTCGGTGCCCTACCGGTGCCCTACTTCTCATAGCCGAAGTATGCTGCCACAATTTCTTTGGAGTGAGGTACTGAGTGGAAGGAGCCTATGTGTTTCCGGAGGCTCGCATGCTCTCAATCAATCTGATTTCTTGTTGAGATCCATTCACAGGCTTGGGGACGGCTTCTTTGGCTTCCTCATTGGGCGATCCTGGCTTGTTTAAAGCTGGTCGCTAATTGTCGTGAAAAACTTCTCGCAGGCATTTCACGAAATCTGGAGTGCAGCAGGCCAGTTCGCTTCATGGTGAGATCCGATCAAAAACTGACTGCTGCCAGGCCGGGCGACGTGTTGCCCTTCGAGTGCCCACCCTTCCGCTGCACTTTGCATCAGTCCGAAAGTGTATGATGTTTGTGAGCTGGCACACATGTCTCGTGCAGCTTTCTGGCCTGATCATAGCAGCTTGACCAGCGAGGTCGCACTGCACATTTCACGATTTCACTGTTCAACATATATCGCTTCGCTAGACCCTGAGATTTGTCAATAGAGCAACTCCGAAACTTCGAGATGGCGGAACCCGATGCCGTGGTGCCTGTGATTGTGACCCCGAAAAAGAAAAATTCCAAGAGGGCGGTCCCAGAGATCCAAGGATTGTGGGAGGCCTGGGAGGAGGACCCGGTTGTTCGGAAAGGTGCTCGCAAGCGAAAGAGCCTGTTGTTCTGGCCCAATCCATCAAAGACCGGCCTCATTAACAAGGCAAGCCTCAAGTGCAATTGGAGGGTGGTCTTAGCTGTGGTGCGACTCTATTGCCCTCGAGTTCCCTCGGATGCTCCGACTAAGACCGTTCCCGTTGCTGCATTGAAGGACCAGGTGGCTTAGGGCTTCGGGGGTAGGTTTACGTTATCTGCATTGTTACCCTAAACACCCCTAAGCCCTAAACCTTGAATCCTGAACCTGGAAAAGCACCCGAAACCTTAATTCCCCAGGTGGCAAAGTTCTTCGACGACATCAGTATCACCCCTCGGAGGGGATTGGTTCATTGCGAGGCCCACAGCCTCAAGATGTTTCTGAGCTACATGAACCGACGAAACGATGGCTCTCGCAAGAAGGTTTCTGGTCTTAATTCTTCGGTATTCAGGATCTCTTTAGGGTTTAGGGTTACGAAGATGGTCTTTCTTGTAGAGCTGCCATCAAGCTTCCATGCCAAGTCTCCTAATCCGAGGATGCCACTCTCGCTGCTTTGTACCAGGAGCTGGAGAAGCATTGGGCGCCGAAGGTTCGCTCACGCCGGACCTTGGCTTCGGGTGATGAAGAAGATGATGATGATGAGCAGGAGGAACAGGAAGAGCAGGAGGAAGAGGAAGGTGAGGACGAGACAACCTTAACGGAGCCGGAGGACGATGATGATCGTTTCCAACTGGTTGACCCCTACTTAGCCGAAGCAATGGGTTTGGAGGCCGGGTCACCTCCGCCGCCTTCGGCCTATGTGGGCACGGTTGCATATGAGCCGAGCGAGGAAGCAGGAATCCCGATCCCCTACGAAGCCAAATCCCTGACAATGTGTTCGGCTGCTAATGATGTTGATCTTGTGCGACAACTTGCTGAGATCGAGCATCTTGCTTCATGTTCTTTGCAAGTAAGATATGGTGTGATGCCGTAGTGTTTCGAGGTACTTTCTTGCACAGCATGAAGCTAAGCAGCCAAGGCAGCGAATTGCCCATCGACGGGCAGCTTTGAGTGGCCAGCAGGCTGCCCAGAAGTGGGGTGGAACCTCAGCAAGATAATTGATTCTCGCAGTTATGAACCCAAGCCATATGACCAAGAACTTTGGTACCTGATCCCCGAACCCGAACCTCTCATCCCTGAAGAGAGAACTCGATAGCCCCCTATATATTATGATACCCAATCCATCACATCCCAGGTTCGGAGCACATTGACAGTCAGAAGACGAGCCTTTGGGATCTTTTCGGTGAAGATGCTATGCCGCCCCCGGAGCCCGATGCAACACCCAACGAGCCAGACACCACGACTCTTGCAAGACAGGATGGTGCTAGCGACCTGTCCCTCTTTGAGAATGACTTGGCAGCAGGAGCTACGAAACAATCGACAGTGGCTCCAAATCCAGTTGCTACACCTGCCCGGGCTAAAATTGCTTCGCAGGCCCCAGCAGTTGAGGCCCAAGCAGAGGCTTCGCAGGCTTTAACAATGGAGGATGTCGAGGACCCAGCAATCACCCCAAAGCCGCTGCCCGATGCACTGGAGGCCCCATCAAAGAAATCCCCGCACAGCCTAGCCCTGAAATCTGAAGTTTGCCAGCCGAGCTGAGCTGCCACCCTTTGCAGGTTTCTTCTGTCAAAGACGGCGAAGCTGACAGTCCTGAGCTTCTAGCATGCGAGGTGGGCAATCCTGTTGAGTATCGGCTTTTTTTATGATTTGAAGGCTTCGTCTTTAAATGGGTTCCAGGATAAGAAGATTTCAGTGGGATTCCTAACGTATGACGAGATACCAGAATATCGGCCTCTGGGTTAGCTTTTCGTATCGGCTTCCGGGGCTTTAGGGATGGGGTCTCAAGTTTATGTTTGGGTGGGTCCCAGGCTTTGGGCTGTAGTGTTTCGGTGGCTCTAGAGATACCATGGGGTCAAGTAGTCTCCCGAGGCTTTGGTTTTTAGTATTGGGGCGGTTCTATGTCGGGACTGCTGTTGGGAGTATGCTTTGAACTAATAACTAAAAACTATAACTATCATCTACTAAAGTCCATTAGGTTAGGCATTCGGGTGGTAGTCCTGAGGCAAAAGTCAGCAGACGCGAGCAGATGACTGCAAGGGAGAAGGCAAAGCAGTGCGAGGCCGAGGACGAAGACGACGATGACGACGACGTGCCGATCAAAAAAAAACCGGCCATGGCCAAGGGCAAGCCTGGAAGGCCGAAGGGATCCGGGAACAAGTCGACGAAGACCGACAAGGACACGGCGAAGAAGACGGGCAAGAAGAACCAGGAGAAGGAGAACGACGAAGCCAAGACGCTGCCGAAGAAGAAGGGCAAAAAGAAGGACCCCGAATCGGAGGACGAGAACGACGAAGACAAGACGCCGCCGCCGCAGAAGAAGGGCAAGAAGAAGGACCCCGAGGACAAGGAGAACGACGAAGACAAGACGCCGCCGCAGAAGAAGGGCAAGAAGAAGGACCCCGAGCCGAAGAAGGAGAACGACGAAGACAAGACGCCGCCGAAGAAGAATGGCAACAAGAAGAAGGACCCCGAGCCGGAGGACGAGAACGACGAAGACAAGACGCCGCCGAAGAAGAAGGGCAAGAAGAAGGACCCCGAGGACAAGGAGAACGACGAAGACACGGCCCCGCCCAAAAAGAAGGACAAGAAGAAGGACCGCGACGACAAGGAGAACGACGAAGACACGGCCCCGCCCAAGAAGAAGGACAAGAAGAAGGACCGCCAGGACAAGGAGAACGACGAAGACACGGCCCCGCCCAAGAAGGACAAGAAGAAGGACCGCCAGGACAAGGAGAACGACGAAGACAAGACGCCGCCGAAGAAGAATGGCAACAAGAAGAAGGACCACGAGGACAAGGAGAACGACGAAGACACGGCTGCCACGAAGAAGAGCAAGAAGAAGAAAGTTGACGACGAAGACACGACTCCGCCGAAGAAGAAGAGCAAGAAGCCAGACGCCGAGGAGAAGGAGAACGACGAAGACACGGCTGCCACGCAGAAGAAGGGCACGTTTGCTTCGAGAAATCCGGGAAAGGGTGCAAGAACAGTGGCCATTTGGACGGCTATCCGGGATGCATTCGATTGTGTTCTTCGGGACAAATTTCGCTACACCACGAAGATGGAGGATTGGTTGTTTGTTCAACATATATTATATTCTAATCGTAGCTCCAACATATTTCGAAAGAGCCAATCTAGTCCTTGCTTTGTTCGCAGGGCCTTTTCTGGGCCGATTGCCGGCCCGTGCTGCTCGAAGTGAAGGACGATACTGAGCTGTTCCAGGCGGCTAAGAAGTTTGCTGCCAAGTGGTTGAAGATGGACAAAGTTCAGGGTGCCCCGATGGTACAAGCAACCTTTGCCAAATCTACGCTACACCCTGAAACTAAAGCCCTTGACCACCTGAACCTTAAACCCTCAACTAGAAGTCCTGAAGCCTTAAAACCTTATACCGAGTAGTGCCAGCCAACGAGACACTTATCCGAGGTCAGCTGAAATGAAGCGATGCGATGACCGGCCAGCTTTTTGCGACCATCCTGAGTTCACGCCAAGGACTTGGGCCTCTTCTTATGAAGCTTCTAGGTGCTGCTCTCTCTAGAAACCCATGATGGGTGTCTGCTTTCCAGAGGCGAGTGTGAGCTCACATCCTACCACAAAGTACAGGGTCCTGAACTGATACCGGTTGTGTCTGCAATCGTGACCGCATATAGGTAGCACTTCTTTGGGATGCCACACACTGCCTCTTAAAGGAAGTATGACTCATGGCTGTGGCGAAGCAGTGCAAATCAAGCTCCCATGCCCGAAACACAAGAAAGAAAAGAGCGAGTGAAGTCATGCAGCGATTGCACAGCTGCAGAGATTCCCGACCAGTCGCCTTCACGAAGCCCGAAATCGCAGGTACCGCGATGCCGTTTTGTGCGGCTTTCCGGCAGCACGGCTTGGACGGTGGCACCTCGAGCTGAGCTGCCATGTTTTGGGTGCGGGCTGAGGGTACGGGTTTAACTTTAGCACTAGGACCACCCTGAACTCCATACCTCAGCCGCAACCATCTTGATCCCCTTTGTTGGTTCTACAGCCCGAAGGGTTTGGTAGGATTATATATTTGTTGCTAGTTTCTCTTTGGGATCTCCGAAGGGCCTGAAGTATCAGGGTTTTTTCCTTAAAAGGGTTTTTCAGGTTATCACGTGTCAATGTTTGGGAGCTTGGCTTTCTGAGGCCCCAACTTTTCTCTTGGGTTGCAGGGGTTCCCGCTGGGGCTATGCAGTTCTGTGTGTAATTCTAGCAGAAGTGCTTTTATCATATACTAGTATCAGTAGCATAAGCTAGCCAATCCGAAAACTATGAACCTCCCTGGAGAACTCCATCTCGCAGTCCAGTGCCCTTATACTGTATCCTAGAAGTAGTGCCAGAAGACACCCCAACCCGAAACCAATGATCCCTTGCCTGGCAAGTTTCTCTTTTTGAGAAGCATCCAAGCCAAACAGGGATCACGCTGAGGGCGGATTCATCATCCTTGGCTACGGTTTAGATACGGCTTTGGGGTCCGAGCTCCCGTCTCACGCTTTCGGTCGCTTGCAATTTTCAGGGTTTAGCTTCAGTCTTGAAGGTTTTTTTCGGGGTTACCTTGAGTCTTCAGGCTTTAGTTGGGTCATTCATTGGAATCGGTGGCTTATGTGGATTGTTGGGCTCATGGGTGCTGGAAGATTCTGGGGCTCAGGGCTTTATTACATACGGTACTTAGAGGATCATGGGACTTAGTAAGTAGGTTATAATTGGGGTTATAAGTCCCCTAAGTGGGGTTATCCTAATTATAAGCTACTTGTAACCTTACTTACTAAGTCCCATGATCCTCTAAGTATAGGGCCGTTAAGGTTATAGGTTGCGCTCGACAACAGCATCATCTTCTTGTTCCTCCACACAAGAAAGCCTGTTCTGTAACCGAACCTACGAAGTCCGACCCTGCACCCTGAACCGCAATTACATCGTTTGCTGACAGGAGTCAAGATATTGAAGTTGTGTGACCCAAAAATTCCCGAACAATCCTAAGCCTCCCAGCCCGTAACCATAAGATCCCAAGCCTCTAAGACCCTAAACCTCTAGACCTCCAGCCATAACCTCAATATATCCGCAAAGCCTCTAAAACCCTAAGTCTATAAACCTCCAGTCCCCTTTACCACAAACTCTACAAGCCTTTAAAACCGCAAGCACCTAAACCTCCCAGCCCCTTTGACTATTAGTAGATCCCGGGACACACAACCGTAAGTGACGAGATCCAGTGCTCGCTTGAGCTTGCAAGTCGGGCTCTGAAGCCGCCACACCGTGCCGGCAGTGCTGCCTCGTAGTTTTGGATGATGCAGAAATAATCGCTTAAGTTTAGGACCAGGTGAGGTCGCATATATGATATATATGGCACTTTGCAGGTCTGCTCATAATTCAGGAATATCTAGAGAAACTATAGGCTGTGGGTAACGATGGCTTCGTCCGATGGGAACCCAAGTCGGCAGTCCTGTGTGGCAGAAGGTTGTGTACGTTTTGCCTTCGAAGGGAATCTTTTCTGCTGCCGTGGTTGTCGCAAGAATAGGCGACATTCGAAGAAGTGTTCCAGATTGAACCCCGAAGCCGTTGCTCGCGAGCCCATTGGAGACTGCCCGAACTGTGATCGCAAGGTTTTGCCTCCGCACCTGCACTGCTGCTCTGTCTGTCGTCTTTGTCCTGGGCAACACAAAACGACATGCCTCGCAAGGGCCGAGTTTGCAGGGCGAAAGTTCCTGGACGAGATGGACTGAAGCACAGTCGGCAGGGGTATGAAAAGGAGAGCTAAGACACTGGTGCAGGGTTCGTGTGAGGCTGAGGCAAGGAGAGGCAGGGATAGAGGATAAGGGAAAGGGAAGGCGAGAGAGAGAGAGAGAGAGAGAGAGAGATATGTGTGTGTGTGTGTGTTTTGCCACGATTTCGGTGGCTCTTCAGGCCAATTCAGCAGCTTGGGCAGGGATTTTCGGAGTTTAGCTCTGATTTTAGGAGTTCTGCTTGGCTTTCGGTGTTTTGGGTGGTTTTCAGAGGGTTTTGGGCGGTTTTGGTGGTTTTGGGGGGGTTTGGGGGTCCAGGAGTGGCGGCGGGAATGCCCGGGATTGCTGCGGGAATGCCCGGGTTGGCGGCGGGATTGCCCGGGAGGCCCCCAGCAGCCCTAAACCTAACCCCTAAACCCCGACTCGACCGGCAATACACAGCAGTTTTGGGCTCTAGATCCGGCTTTCCGCTGGTGATAATAGGGGCAATGGAAGCTGATCCAGAGCTTCAGGCTTTGGCTGCTCAGAAGGCGGCTTTGATGGTACCCTGGCCCAATTACACGAGATTTGTAACTCTCACCCAAAACCCTCACCCGAAAACCCCGAACCTAAAACCACTTCGCTTGCAGGCCAGGATGCAGGCCCTTGGCATCGCGGGCAAGCAGGAGCCCGGTTGCAGTCAGCCCCACATCCTGCCGCAGTGATTAAGGCTTTCGGTGCTGCTGATGCATGTTTCGCTCCTTCAGGAGAAGCCTCTTCGTGCGACCTCCTGGCATTCCTCCCAAACGGGATCCCAACAGGACCTGATGCCAGAGTCCCAGTCAGAGCTGGAAGTGCCTGCTACGCAAAAGGAAGCTGACACGCAGCTGCCTGCTTCGCCTGTCCCTGCCTTGTCAGAAAGCCTTGGTAAAGGGACACCCCAGAGCGAGAGGTCCGAGCCCACGCCGGGGGAGGGGACGAACTCCAACCCCGCACCCAGCCAACCCACGCCTGAAAAGAAGAATACGAGTTCCGAGCCCGGAGCCAGCCAACCCGAAGCCGTAGAGCAAGCCGCCCTAGGATCCCAAAGCAAGTCAGAAGCACCCGCCGTGGAGACCAGCCAGCCCGAGAAGCCAGACACGTCAGAAGCACCCGCCGTGGCCAAGACCAGCCAGCCCGAGAAGCCAGACACGTCGAAAGCACCCCCCGTGGCCAAGACCAGCCAGCCCGAGAAGCCAGACACGTCGAAAGCACCCCCCGTGGCCAAGACGAGCCAGCCGGAGAAGCCAGGCACGAACACCCGGCCCACAAACAAGGACACCAAAGATCCGAAAGCAACCAAGAACGAACCAGAGGAGGATGAGTACGTGGCCCCGGTGGAAGATCACCCACCCCCTCCTCCCATCAGCAAGGCCACTTTGATGAAGAGGCTGGCACGCATATGTGCACCCAAAGCGGATGGGACCTACAAAGTCCCGCTCGAGATCATCCAGACCCACAAGAATCTGGAATCCCGGGATGATGTGTACCGTGCCTTCGAGAAATGTGGTGGCGACCCCGCTTCGCCGTCACGCTTGCAAACGGTAAGAGTGCCATGGTGAGGGGGAGTGTGTGTGAATTTTATTTAATGTGTAGCTTGGAAGCCAGGTGATTTTCACGAAGAAAGTCAACCAGCCATACGAAGAGATCAATGAGAAATCTGTGGAAACGGAATTCGAATTCCTCACAGAGGCGGAGATGGAAGAGAAAGGATGGAGCGAGTGCCTCGCTAAAACAAACCAGCTTCATGAGCTCCTGTTGCATGACTATCTACACTCTCCTGTGGCTCCTTCACGGTCCTTGCAGACTAGCAGTGCTGTTCTTCTCAGTGCTTTGCTGAGGAAGAAGATCAAGGGTGCCAAGAGAAGCTGCGAGCGCCGGCAGGGGTACAAGAGGAGATGCAACAGTTGTCTTCCGTTTGCATACGAATGTTTTGCTAGTGATTCTGTGCCTGATGCTAGTCTCTTGCACAGGAAATCCGAGTACTGTGACGAGTGGATGTACTGGGTTGCTGTGCGAGTGAGAGGATCCAACAAGTGCCGTGGCTAAACATTATATTCGTTACACGTATACTTTGATCGCTACAGCCTAACCTTGAAACCCTACCCTTTCCATCTACCTCAGGAAGACGAAGCGGCACACCGTGACCGAGCTCCTGGAGGGTGCCGACCAGGAGCCCATGCAGGATCCTGATGAAGCAATGGAGAACTTCCCTTTCGAGCTTGAGGGAGACGGAGATAAGAAGCAAGGGGAAGGTACCTGGGTGTCGATATCGGGCTATTGTTCGTGGTGCTATTAAATAGTGCCTTGTTCTTCAGGTTCCGGGGCTTTTTGCTTTCCTGTCTTCGGCTCGGTATTAAATAGTCTTGTTTAGTATATACTGGGGTTCAGGATATTAAATAGTCTTGTTTAGTATATACTGGGGTTCAGGAGGGGTCAGGGCTTGTGTTTGCGAATTCGCCAAAGTAGGGTTCGTGAGGGCTGGTCGGAGGCTGTCGTGATCCCACTAAAGCCAATCGGGGGCCTGGCTAAGTTAGGGATTAAAGCCTGGGTTTAAGGTGTCAGATTCAGGATATACCTGTGTTATGTCTTTGGAAAGAAGTGTCGAGGCCAAGCATCAAGCAACATGTCTAACTTGCCTAAACCTTAAACTTAAGATCCCGATCCCTCAAGTCTAAAGAAGAAACTCGGAACACCACATTCGGAAGCTCAATATCTACGGGTGCCGATCGAGATCCCCATTCCTAGATTCTATGGCCAATAGTCATCCCCAGCACTAGACCCTGTAGTCATTGAACCAAACCTTAAACAACCCAAAGGCCAGGACTCCAATCCTTGCTGAGCATCAGCAGACTTGTCGTTCCATTACCCAAACCCGTTAAACCTACGATATAGCCTAGCTGCAAACCGCCCGACCCACGACCCACGCACGGTGATATATGGTCGTCGACCCTTGGCCCGAGATCCCTACAAGTAGAATCCTCAATCCCTGGGACCTTCAACCCCTGGAAAACTAAAGCCTAATCCCCCAACAGCTTATTCCCCAAAGGCTTAGATTCGAAGCCCGAAATCCAAAGATATAGGATACCTATACAAATCCGCAAATGCAGCCGGCAGGTGATGACGAGGAGGAGAGTGACTCCAGTGATGATGGGGAAGAGGCTGCCCGGATCCTCAAAAGGATCGCCTATCCGGAGATTCCCAAGAAACCGCAAGATGCCAGTATGCTGGTGACCGGCTGCCTCCAGAAGAGGGCGAACAAACTCCAGCTTCTCCTGGCGAAGATGGAGTCGGATGCAAGCATCTCCCTCACCACGACCCAACTCAAGATCCTCATCTAAACAATTATTTGTAAATGTGCTTGGGCCTAGTCGATGCACTGTGTGCTTCAAATCCCAAGTAACTCAGAAAGCAAGGTTTCGAGACAGCCTCAAGATGGTCATCGACGCAGTGGGTGATTTGGAGGACAGAATTACGACTATCTATAGTCGTGGGATTGCTGCTGGCTTCACGAAGGAGAAGCTTGTCTTGCATTTCCTAGTCCAGTACCTCGCTCTTGTTGAGTAGGATTGTAAGCCTGAAGCCCCTTCAGCCCCTGAATCCTGACAAGGGACCAGAAGAGGCTTCGCATGCTCTTCCAGGAAGCGAAGACGAAGCACCTTGGCTTGGCATCTGTGCATACCACTGATCTTCAACCTGAGTGTTTGTTGTGTCAAAACCCTAAACCCCTAAACCCTAAACCGTAGTCCTGCCGCCTGATACCCTTCCATTCAAATCTCGCAAGTCAAGAATACCCAGGGCCGTGGAGGCAGAGATGATTTCTGAGCGATCGAAGAGCATGAAGTTTCTTGTCTTTGTATTGTGTTGTGAAGACTATTTGCTGCTTTCCAAGCGGTTTCTGTCCAACTCATCATCCATGTACGTTCTGCACCCAGGATGCCGACGAAGGTACCCGAGAAGCCCGATCCGAAAACAAAGGCCAAAGCCAAGCCGCATGCCAAAGGAAAGGTGGCCCCTAGGAAGAAGGCGACTGATGATGAGGAAGACGAGGAAAAGCCCAGCAAGCGAGCCAAGAAGTAGCCACGCCTCGTGTAAGTGCTAGCAGAGTTCAGCTCCGCAGGCAGTGCCAAGGGTTACTACTCTAGTCGGTATAATACTGTTGTGATAGGACAGCTCGTTGCAGGCACCGCTGAGCTGATTCATGAGATTCAAACAGTGTTTTGGACACTGTGTCTCGCCAGATCGTTGCTGGGTTGCCGCTGCAAAAGTAAGTGAGTCTGTGTGTGTGTGTAAGTATTTAGGTAGATAGGTGGGCGATAGGTTGGGCAAGGCAGGGCAGGTATGGGTAGGTAGGGAAGTAGGTAGATTCGTCGATAGGTTGGCGGGTTAGTTTCTAGCTAAGATCTTGGGCTTGGACTTGAAGTGACTTGAGTAATTATCTCTATTCCGGATTCGGGCTCTAAAATGTTCAACCCTCTCCTGGAAGCTTAGGCTAATGCCCCAAACGGAAACCCAAATCGAGCCCTCGCCCGAAACCCTTACCACTATTCCCTAAACCATTGTGCGAAGCGACCTGAAGCGCCGGAGGACCCCCCCATGCCATACTTATGAGGTCCAGCCTACAACTACATCCCGAACAACCTTCAACCCCCCAAGCCATACTTAGGAAGCTCTAGCCTACAACTACATCCCGAACAAAGCCCCTAAAGTTCGCAACCCTACAACCCTACCCTCGCATGCCAGGCTCCGACGAGGAGCCGGTCGATTTCGGCCGAGCTTCCCAGTATGCCGAGATGCTAGGCGAGGGAGTCCGGATCCTCGGATTCTGTTGGAGTTTAGGTTCGGTTT